ATAAGATTTTCAAAAATTTCCACTTACAAATCTTTAAAAAAACAATTTTTTTGGTTTTTGTTGAAAAAGTGAGTGGCAGCTCATTAAAACCCCAAATTTTCTTTTATTCATTTCATTCCATTTGAAATATATAGAGCAACAAGTACTAAGAAGGTAGAGGTTTTTAACAGTAGTCTTAGAGAGCTCAAGATCATTAATCCATTACAACAAGTGTGAAATCATTGGTCTAAGCAGCAGAGAAGATGAGCCTGTCAACAGTTGGGTTATAACAGAGTATGAATAGTTGCATTCAAAGAAAATAGGAGAGCAGCTTTCATTAGTAGAATGACACAGCTGGCGTATAGGATAACCAATGATATTTCTTTTGAGTAATATGTCTGTTATTTTAAAACCTCCTATCAAGGTTAACAAGGCAAAGGTGGAGAATCTCAACACATGTTTTTTATGCCAAACAAGATTATACTAGGAAAAATGCATAAGTTTTTTGTAAAGCTCCTTAACATAAAGCCCAAACATACCTTGAGTCGAATTACCGCAAGTTAAAGAAATTGCATAGAACTCGTGAATAGGAATAGCTCTGGTGATTATAGTAACAAACAATGTCAATGTATTAGAAAAATTCCAAGCGCTTCTAAGGATTTGATCCTTACCAAAAGCATACGAGTCTAGTTCTTACAGAAAAGCATTACCCTCAGGGGTATCCTTAAGAGAGTGCCAAACACACCAATGATCCCAATGCAGAGATATGGGAGAGGAGGGAGTCATCCTGAACTTAATTGCATTCCTCACCAAAACCATAATGTTGCGTATGGATTTTTAGAAGACGGATGCATAGGTCAGAGGAGGACGCCAATGTGATGAGTATCTATATATGTATTATCCAGGATGATAAAGGAGTTGCATAGTTGTATATTCTGCTTATGATATTGTAATTAAAAGCAAATTGAAGAGCTGACAGAGAAGGCAATCCTGATTCTCTAGAATTTTTGGGTTTGCAAACCTTATCCCAAGATACCAAACACATCTTCCTAACAGCAGAAGTATCACCAATAAACAAAAATTTAGAGGATAATTTTCTAATACATTTTATGATAGTTTTAACTTAAATCGAACCCCTAATCCAATAAAAAATGGAGTTAATAACAACAAATTTTAGATATTGCAAATGACAGACAAGCAAAAGAAAGAAGATTTAAGTTTCAACTAGTCATTTTCATTGCGATACTTTCCATAAGTAGTAGAAAATTAGTTACTTTTAGTCTCTTGAAGGAGAGGGGTATTCCCAAATAAGTGATATGAATGCTGATACTAGGAATAGAGATGGCCTAGCGTATGACATGTTGATTATAGAGACAATTGGGTATCATAATAGAGCTTTTCTCAAAATTAATGTGGAGCTCGGAAGCATTAGCAAAAGTATTGAGAATGTGTGCAAAATTCTTGCAGATATCTGCCTTAGATTTACCAAATACCAATAAATCATCAGCATATAGGAGATGAGATAATTCAAAGCCACCAATATTAATACCAACAAACCCTCGTTCATATAGGAAGGTAGAAAAAGAATCCATAAAAATGCAAAATAGTTAAGGATTGAATGAGAAACCTTGCCTTTAGCTTACAGAAGAGGGAAAGTAGCCCTCAATGAAGGTGCTAGGAAAACCTTTTTGAACCAATCTAGCAAGTAAAAATTTCCTAGAAACCGTGTCAAATGCTTTGCGGATATTCAACTTAGCACAAAAGTAATTATGACCTCCTCTATGACGGGCTAAAGAAAGGATCTCATTAGAAAGGATGATGTTATCCATCGAAATTCTAAAGTTCACAAATCCAATTTTATTATCAGTAACAATTAAAGGCATAATAGGTTTGAGTTTATTGGCTAGAATTTTAGCTATGATAATGTAGACGACATTACATAAATCAATTAGTTTGAAGTCAGACATTGAATTAACATGCTTGGTTTTGGGAATATGGACAAGAGCTATGGCTTTAACCCCTTTAGAAAGATAGCCTTTATGAAAGAAGGATCTCACTGCCTTGTATGGAGATGGACCAATAATTTGCCAACCCATTTTATAGAAATGAAAATTAAACCCATCTGGACCAGGAGAGGAGGAGGAAGCCCCTGAGAACACAACATTTATGATTTCATCATTAGTGACATGATTTATGAGAGAATGAGACATAGAGGTGGAAAGACACCTCCCAATAGGGAAATTATCAATGACATTATAAGTGGGTGGAGTAGGGTTGTAAAGGGTTTGAAAGTGGATGATAATGGAGCTAATGACCTCATGTCTCGAAGAGAGGATTAGATAATCCCATATTCATTATCGCTTTGTTGTTGCATTATTGACTCTAAATTTTAGCATATAGAAACATTAACTCATCCTCCCCTTGAGATAGAAAGAAGGCTTTTGCACTTTGGATAATTCAAGAAGCTAACAAGTTAAAATAATCAACAAATTTGGAATTGATACCTTTAAGTGTGGCATTAAGAGCAACATTTAAAGGGTTAGTATTGATCCTTCCAAGGCATTATGATTGCATATTTTGTAGACCAGGAATATGAGAGTTGATAATGTTGGACCGCCCAATCCTTCTTAATGATATCATCTTTTAAAAGCTTCAGCTTATTGCAAAAATCAGGAATTGGATTGATAGAAGTTGGACCATATAAAGCATCAAGAACTGCCTCCCAATACCTATCCAGCTTGGGCCAAAAGTTTTTAAAGAGATGTTTATGTTTTATAGAATGAGAGTTACCTGAGTGAAGAATGATGGGGAAATGATGTGAACATATGGGAGTTTGAAAAGTGCAGAATGAAATAGGGAATTCTTTCACCCATTCCTCATTCACAAGGGCTCTGTCTAGTTTATGTGAATAGGATTATTCAGTTGTTGATTATACCATGTGAAATGACTACCCACCGAATGCAAATATTTCAAACTAGTGTTAACGATCATCGAGTTTAGCTCCCAGAGATTATTGTGAGTAAGCAAGGAAACTCCTGCCTTTTCATGAGTAAAACAATAGTAATGAAAGTCTCCCATAAGGATCCATGGAGAGTTATTAGGAGGCACTACTGTCTGATTTGATCCCATAAAATCAACCTATCAAGAGCATTATTTACAGCATAAATGATAAAAAAGATAGAAAGGGGAAGGCACCTAACAGAAACTATCCCAGAGATAATCTATGTAAGTGAAGGAGGTAATGTAATCTTGTTAGGATTCCATTTGATCCATATACGGCCAGACTTGGAAAGGAAAAAAAATTTGCAACTGTCTTCAAGAGTGAAGACTGAATGGGAAATACTGAAGAAAGGATCCGAAAGAGCAGGTGATTGTATCCTATTTTCCAGTAAACATAACATATCCATTTTGAGGGAGGCAACCATACATTTACAGAAAACCACCATATCAGGGATATTGAATCCCTTGATATTCCAAATCGTTATTGGAGGCACAAACATTAAGGTTCAGTTGAGACTGCATCTTGAGTCTCCCCTTCCTATTGGAGTATGTTGAATTTGTTAAGAGAGATAACCCCAATAGGGTAGAAGCGTCAGATATATGGGGGATATGTGTGGTGCTGGTTGATGAATTTTCTTCTTCAGTGGGAGAGTTTAGGTTATGAATATTAGGGAGGGAGGCTTCAACCATAGCTGTGGGAAGGATAGATTTGTCCAAATATGTTTGTTGGGACTGGTTAATCGGCAATGCTTAAGAGATGGGTTTGTTGAGCTCCATATTAATTTTAGATGGGGGAAGGGTATGACCCGATACATCATTAATGAAGCTGGAGGGAGAGTTGTTAGTGGATGGGGAAATAGCAGTGGAATTAAGTTGGCCAAGATTAAAGGTTTGCTAGTTAGATGTCGCATGAGGGACATGAGTGGGATGTCGACTTCTTGGTTTCTACTTGTACTCCTGCCTCAAATAATATTTATTGCATTACCAATATTATCTGAAGTGGGGGTAGGATTTGAAGGGTAGAGTGAGGAGTGATGAATTAGGGACTTACATAATTCACAGGGAGTAGGTCTCCATTCGTATTGGACTTTCAAGCTGAACTCATCCCAATTCAAAGAAATGAGATTTTCATCTGGGTACTTGGCATTGCAGTCAACCTGAACACATATTCTGGCAAAGGTGAGGCGGGTCTTCTGAGCTATCAAAGAGTCCACTGTGAGGGGAATGCCCACTTAACTCATAATTATGGAAATCCCTTCAGAATTCCAGCAAGCCAAAGACAGATCGTGGATCTTGATCCAAATAGGAATAGAAGAAATTTTTTCCCTCTTGGGCCTAAAATGGGGGTGCCATTTTTGGAGGATGAAAGGATTACTAAGTATAAACCAGACTTCTCTAGACAAAACCAAGTCATAATCTTTTGTGGACATAAAACGAAGTAGGAAGAAACCATCACTTAAAGGTAAAAGCTTGAATGAACCTTTAAGCGACCAAGATTTTTGCATGGAGCCAAGTAAAGCTTCGTAGAAGGGCCTCCTACCTAAGAAATATCCTACCGGGTACAAGCTCCAGTCTTGAGCACCGATAGGCAATTTTTCTCTGGAAAAACGCAACAGTTATAAATTCAGAGGGGTAGAAGGAGACGAGTATGTTATCGGGTGAGGAATCTGTGGGGTGGGGGGAGGAAATATTTGACCATTTGCGCTAAACGGAGGTGTGAACCGTGTTACTGGAGGAGGTGAGAGGGGAGAAAGTCAGAAGAGAAAGTGGAGGATCTATGAGAGGTTTGGTTGTAAGCCCCTTTTCTAAAAAATAAAAATATCTGAATTGGATAAAATCAGTTGGACTTACAAGATAGAATAAAGAAACGAACTACAAATTCAATTAAGATTTCATTTGAGATGACTTTCTTATTGATTTTTAAAATAATTTTTTAGTAAAAAATTAAATCTTTTATATAAAAAAACTGTTTTCAGCAGTAAAAAAATCGTCCGGCTAAATATAGATGAGGCAGACCTACCTCCGAACTCTGCACAAAATAATTTCTCCGCCAACGGGTCTGGTGCGAAAGTGAGACAGAGACCGTTTCGCTGATGCTGCTGCATAGAGAAAGATAGAGAGAGAGAGAGGGAAGTAGCGCTTTAGGACGCGGCGATGGGACGGTTATCGACGCTCGGGAAGCGGGTCGGGGATATGAGTTTCGTCGCCGGCGGTGGCGTCATCAACTGGTTTCCGGGCCACATGGCCGCCGGCGCTCGGGCTATTCGTGATCGCCTCAAGCTTACCGATCTCGTCATCGAAGTTCGTGATGCCCGCGTAAACTCACTTCCTCCTTTTACTACTCATGCTATTCTCCTTTTCTTACTCTTAAGTCCCTGTTATTCGATAAGCAAGCGAAAAATAACCTGTTTATTTTTCTTCAGTAGTTGTTGGAGATATCATTGGGGCAGCTAAAGCAGTTGAAATAGAGTTCGGTAACCTAAATTAGCTTGGAATTGTTTTTTTCTTATTTAGGCAGGGATTTTAAATCTAGAGTCCGCCCGAACTTTGCTCAAGATCAGCTCGAAACCATTCTATTTGATCTCTAGCCAAATCAATTATTGTTATCGATTGAATCTATCCGAGCTCAATTCGAGCCATACGAACTAGTTAATTACAATCTGAGTAACATTTGAGCTAAAAAAAATTTGATAAGATGATCTCCACTATTTTAGATCTCTTAAGCTAATTTTGTAGTAGAACGTACATATATTCATAAATATAAATGTATAAATTGAAGAAACTAGAGAGAGGATTAAGAGTGGATGTCTCACGTCAGATACAAAAGAGAATTATATTGTATTACCGTCTCGATTACAAAGACTAACTACCCTTATATAGATACATTGGTTTGCAATAAGAAACTACTAGAGAAGTGTGTGCGTGTAGCTATATTCCAGCTTTAGGAAGATGTTGAACTGTCTAGCCGAATATGTTGCTTCTTGTCTAATACGCCCCCCGCAAATTGATGGGTCCTTTGTGACTGTCAATTTGGATCGAAGAAATGTGAAGCGAGGTGTTGAGAGCGGCTTCGTAAAGATGTCAGCTATTTGATCGGTAGTGCTTATAGGTAGCAGATTGATGTGGTGTTGTTGAATGTGGTCCCGTAAGAATTTCTGATCAATCTCTATGTGTTTAGTGCGGGAGTGAAATACAGGATTATTGGCCAAGGCGATAGCTGACATGTTATCACAATAGAGATTCGTAGGCTGGTCTTGAGGAATGCCGAACTCGGAGAGCAGCCTGCGTGTCCAGATGATATCCGTCGTAAGGGCGGCCAATGCTCGATATTCAGACTCCGTAGACGATCGAGCGACTGTGTGTTGTTTCCGAACCTTCCAGGAAATAAGAGTTTCTCCTAGGAAGGAGCAGTATCTGAAGGTGGATCTACGAGAAATTGGATCGCCTGCCCAATCCGCATCTGAAAAGGATTTGAGAGTCAAGTTAGTTTTGGTGACAGGAATGTCAAAGTCTAGCGTACCTTTGATGTAACGAAGAAGCCTTTTGAGAAGATAAGCGTGCTAGGCGGTTGGATCATGCATATGTTGAGAGAGAAGGTTTACGCTGAACGAGATGTCGGGTCTAGTTAGAGTAAGGTATTGGAGTGACCCAGTAATTTGAAGATAGGTGGTTGGATCGGCGAGCAGAGTGTCTTGGTGAATTTCGGATGGTAGCTTGGTACAGGTTGGATTTGCCAGTGAATTGCAATTTGCTAGATTGGCTTGATTGAGAATTTGAAGAGCATAGTGAGAGTGGGACATGAAATAGCCGTTGATGTTCTTTGTGATTTTGATGCAAGAAATTCATTTGCGGAGCCCAGATGCTTCATAGAGAACTCAGAACTGAGTCGGTCAAGAATCAATTGAGTGCTAGCCTGATTATTGCCCATAATTAGTATATCATCAACGTATATAAGTAGATAAATTTGAACGTTAGTATTGCAAAATAGAAGAAGTGAAGGATTTGCCTTACTATGCTCGAAACCAAGCGATACGAGAAAAGAAGTGAAAGTGTTATACCATTGGCGCGGAGCCTGTTTTAGGCCGTAAATTGCTTTATGTAAGCGGCATACGTGATTTGGTTTTGTTTGATCCTCGAAGCCCTTCGGTTGGGTCATGAATACGGTCTCTGTTAAATTGCCGTGAACAAATGCGTTCGCAACATCGAGTTGCTGCACATCCCAGCCGTTGTGGATAGCGATTGCAAGAAAGATATGTATCGTCGGAAGTTTCGCTACGGGGCTGAAAGTTTCCGTGTAGTCTAGCCCGAATTGTTGGTGGTTGCCGAGTGAGACTAGTCTTGCTTTGTACTTAGCCACCGTCCCGTTAGTGTGAAGCTTTGTTCGAAAAGTCTATTTACATCCAAGGATGGATGCATTGGGTGGAGGCTTGACAAGACTCCATGTTCCTTGTTTCTGAAGCGCAAAGAATTCACTCGCCATTGCATGGCGCCATTCGGACTGTTTCATTGCTTCAGTATAGGTGGTCGGTGCAGCAGAAGAAATGACCGTTTGTTGAGAAATGAGATTAAGTCTTTGTATAGGCTTGAGATTACCTGTCTTGCTGCGAGTGGTCATGGGGTGGATAGACGGTTGGGAAACTAAATTGTTACCTGATGTTGTTGCGTGAGAGGATGATCCCGTGATGAAATTGCCTGCGCTGCTGGAAAACTCGGATTGAGAACAGAGGTGCTTTTGCTAGTATGGAGTTGAATGGAAGCCGTAGGTTTTGAGGTAGATGGATGATAGATTGGAGCAGTCGTGGGAGTGAGTAGGAGCGGCGGAATGTCAGAGTGGCTCGCTTCTTGGCTTTTCTGTATCGTAGAGAAAGGAAAAACAGATTCGTTAAATATGACATGTCTAGACATAAAATTTTTGTTCGTGACAATGTCGAGACACTTGTATCCCTTGTAGTTCTCAGAGTACCCAAGAAAGACGCACGAGTGGGATTTAGGTTGTAGTTTGTGACGAGTTTGAGGTGGAGAAAGTGGGTAGCAATTGCACCCAAATACTTTGAGCTGACTGTAATCGGGTTTGCGATTGTACAACAATTCGAACGGGGATGCATTATTCAAAGTGATGGACGGAAGCCGGTTGATGAGATGAACAGTAGTGAGAACTGCGTCAGGCCAGTATGTATATGGGATAGAGGCAGTGAGAAGCATGGTGCGAGTTGTTTCAATGATGTGCCGATTTTTCTGTTCTGCGACTCCGTTCTGCTCAGGCGTGTAGGGACACGAGAGTTGATGTAGAATTCCTTGATTCCGAAGGTATTTCTTGAATTCGGTATTTACATATTCCGAACCACCATCAGTATGAAGAATCTTGATTGTTTGAGCAGTAAATTTTCGATGAAATTTTTAAAATCGACAAAAATTGAAAACACATCAGATTTACAACGAATTGGAAAAAGCCATGTATAACGAGAGAAATCATCTACAAAAATCACATAAAACTTGTATCCTTGAGCAGAAATAGTGGGTGCCGGCCCCCATACGTCTGAGTGAATGAGGGCAAGCGGAGCCTTTTGCCGATGTTGAGTTAGCTCAAAAGGTAGCTTATGGGATTTAGCAGAATTACAAGAGTTACAAGAAACAAAGTTTTTATTTATTTTGAGACTAGGATTGTATTTAGAAATAATTTCCAGCATTCGTTTGTGCGGATGCCCGAGACGCAGATGCCACTTGTTTGTGTCATTTATTGCCGAAAGAGCTTGATGGTTGCTGTTCTTGGCTTTGATCGGAATGGTGTACAACCCGCGCCTATAAGGTCCTTGAAGGATTGTTGCTTGCGTCGCCAGATCCTTTAATACAAAACCAGATGGATCAAATGTGATTGAGATCTTGTTATCTTTGGTTAGTTGAGAAATCGATAACAGATTAAATTTAAGAGTAGGCGTGTGAAAAATTTGAGCCAAGCTCAGCTTACGGGATGGGGTCGGGAGGATACCCGCCCTAGTGTGCGCGATGTGAACGGAGTTGCCGTCGCCAACTGTAATGTTGTCGGAGCCGTTGTAGGGAGAGGAGATGGAAAGATTGTCCAGAGAGTTTGTGAGATGTGTGGATGCGCCCGAGTCTAAGAACCAGTTGTTGTCGATGACATCGGAGTTTGCAGTTAAGGCCGTGTTGTTGGTACGTTGTTGCGGAGTGTACTGAAGGTTCGATCTGTGCCAACAGGATTGAGCCGAGTGCCCTTTCTTGTAGCATATTTGACAGATGACCGCGACATTGGGATTTTGACGACCTTGAGAAGGGTTGGTGGTTGTCGAGCGGCCTCGTGGTCGACGGCCTCTTCCACGATATGTGTAGAGTGCCGTATTGGGATCTTGAGCCGGGGGTGTTCGAGCTGCATCAGAGGCAATATTTACTTCTTCACTTAGGAGTAACAGATATAGTTCACAAGTGAGATCGGAGTTAGCATGGTCCGGATTGCTATCTTGAAAGATTGATACGAGGGGGGCAGACCATTGTGTATGTGGAGGATGATGTCCTTCGTGTCAACGGATGAGCCTGCTGCCGAAATCTGATTCACCAGATTCTTGATATCGGAAAGATACTGAGTCATGGAAGCGTTCTTGAGCGAAATGTGATGAAGGTCATTTTTCAGTTGAATGACCTTTGAACGATTTGTAGCTTGAAATCGTTTTTCAAGTATTGTCCAGATCTCCGCAATGGAAGTGAGCGATATGACATACGGAAGAACAGATTGGGATATAGTAGAACATATTGCAGCGGCTAGGTTCTGATCAGTTAAACGCCATTGGAGTTCGTCGTCGGATGGCTATGCTGGGCCTGATCGATCCGTTCCTGTCGAAGAGGATGGAGTAAATGTAGGATCAAGAAAGTTACCGAAACCATTTGCGCTAATGATCTTGAGAGTTTGAGATCTCCAGATCGGATAATTGTCGGGACCGAGTTGGACGGTGATGAGTAACCGGAGATTGGAAACGACGAATTTGAGTGCAGCCGAAACAGAAGGGGCAGGTGGTAGAGACGATCGTTCCGATCGTTCTTGAAGGTGGGAGGAAGCCGAATCAGACATGGTGCAGGATCAAGAACGCTGCATCTGATACCATGAAGAAACTAGAGAGGATTAAGAGTGGATGTCTCACGTCAGATACAGAAGAGAATTATATTGTATTACTGTCTCGATTACAAAGACTAACTACCCTTATATAGATACATTGGTTTGCAATAAGAAACTACTAGAGAAGTGTGTGCGTGTAGCTGTATTCCAGCTTTAGGAAGATGTTGAACTGTCTAGCCGAATATGTTGCTTC